GGTGATTAATGGATAGCAGACTTAAACTGAATGGAGAGCAAGGCTGTACTTTTGTTGTCATACCTGGCACGGAATGCAGTCCAGGTTCGTTTTACGGAGGAAGGAGGTTCTCAGTCGGGGACCGTACCATCGTTTCCCTGAGTGGCTTACGGGCGGGGTCTTATTCACGGATGCCCCTATCCACAGGCTACTTTCCACCTGATTTCTCCCAGTGTACACGGACAGACGGGCCGACCTCAGGGCCGCTGGAAGGCGGCCCCTGCAGCGGTCCTCCTGCGTCCCCTTGCGTCCTCCTGCAGCGGTCCTCCTGCGCCCCCTAGCCTTGCCTCAGCGGGCGACAAATGCCGTGTATGACTCCGTCATTGCAAGGGGGCTGTATTTATCTCGGGCGCGAGGCATTTTACACCCGGACTCTGCGATGACTCAACAGCGGCACCCACCAGCCAGGCATGGTTTGGGGGGCGGGGGTGAGTGGGTCGCGCCGGCACGAAACGTCAGACTCGTGCGTCATTGCCGTCACGTCATCGTCGACAGCCCGTTTCGCCGATCCAGCGCTTCGCCGTTCCAGTCGCGGCCAAAGCCGGAGCCGGCGCATCGATGCGCGGGTCGGGCACTGCGCTGCCGCCGAGCTCCGTCGCGCGTGAGAGCGGGAAGGCGGTGCATGGGCTTTGCCAAAGGTCTGCCTTTCACAGGCTTTGTACAGAACTATGACGTCACTGGTGCCGAGACTTCAATGCGGCGCGGTCGCTAGCCGTGGAGGGAGGGATGGAGGGGGGGGGGGGGGGGGGGGGACCGCTGCGTGACAGCCGTAGCATCGGAAATAGTCGTACAGATAATGAACAAATTAAACGCGAGGTGCATATGACCGACGTGCCGATGACGTAAAACTTAGTGACGAATATGACTGTGTGCTATGGAAGCCCATGCTCCTAAACATTAGGTGCCACGGAAGAGGCATGAGAGGTATAAACGTATTCACGGTGATTTTACGATGTACCACAGCTGGAACACCGGGTTTTCTTCGTATCGGCAAAGAAAAGGCTGTTAGTGCCAGGTGCATATGACCGGGGAGCCAATCGCGTAAAATTTAACCCAAGTGTGATGATGTGCTTTGCAAGCTTGTGTGGCCAAGCATCACAATGTGCCAATCGACTCACAAATTAGAAAGCCTCACGCGAAAACTGCTGCAGAGATCGGCGAACAGGACATCGGACCGTCTCCGTACCGAAAATTGACAGTGTTTGGGGTTGGTGCATATAACCGGGGGTCGAATGCGTAGAATGCAATGGTGAGTGGGATGATTCGCCAATTAAATTTGTACTGGGTGCTGACGTCGACAAATAAAGTTTAAGCGAGCTAGAAAGTGAGAGGTGCACAGAGGTGCGGAAAATAGGGATGGGGATAAGTCCACAACTTCCTTGAAATTGAGTACCGCCCCCTTGATGTGCGTATGCCTCGCGGCTAAAATGCGATCAGTGTAAAAAGCAAAAACGTGCGCGCGCAGACTGGTAGAAGTATGCAGCCTGAATATCGAGCTATCTCCTTACCAGTAACAATAATATTGTTTCTGGTAGATGCGTATATCGGCAAACCCATCAGGCCGAAGCATATGGTAAGCATGAGCATGTGCTTTGCTAGCTTATATTCAGCAAAGCTGTTAACAGCACCATATTACAAACACATATGATACATATTACATTATAACATCATATTCAATCAACGTGGGAAGTGAATACTTCTACGCGGGGGCGCAGGTTCAAGGGGTGGTGATGAGTCCCCAACTTCCTTAAAATTTAGCATTTTCTCCCCGGACCTAGACTGGAAAGAGCTAAATGAAATGGCTACCCCCCCCCCGAATTTAGGAAAACTCGTGTTGCTCTCTGCGCCTAAGAAAGAGCCGGCTAGCATACTCGCTGAGCGCAAATCGCAAATTTGTTTTTGTGCGACTTATAAAGGACAGTGTTACGGGGAACTGTATTAAACAAGGAAAACCCACCTTCTGTTGCGAGGCACAAATGTTGCCGCGGAAGACTGAGCAAGTGGTAACCGACGCTAAAACACAGCCAGCCATGAACCAGGTTCACAAAGACGCGCGTGTTGCTCATTGTTTGTTTGGACGTCATGGTCATTTGTTTTGCCCATTTTGTGCCCCTTTGGTAGAGCTTGCTGCCCACACAAAGTATGCCCAGGGGTGGAGCAAATGTAAAAATTGGGGTGCTCTGCCACTCGTGTGAAACGCACAGAGGCTCATCAGCAGTACAGGTTACATTGTTCCGGCTAAAAGAAAGCCATCACAGGTACATATCGTGCTCTGCATCCCGGTTTGGCATCCATAACTCTACCCGCATGACACTTTGTCAATAAACACAGCGACGCGCATGCGGACCGAGCACGGCCGGCCCCGTAGACAGCGTGCAGACCGATCACGGCGGAATGAAGACAGACACGGACCAACCAAGATGCGTCGGGCTCATCTAGCGCGAAAAATAACTGCAGCCTACAACAGACTGATCACGCCCGCCACTCACTCGCACCACCGACAGCAGCACGAACCACAGGGTGCGAGACCGTGTGAGACTGAAGTACATTGTGATGGCTTACCGCTTAAGGTTGTCACGTACATCGTCATGCCCGTCACTAAGTTTCACGCAATCGGATCGCTGGTCATATAGATCTGCCAAAGACAGTTTGCGGTGCGAAGACAGCCCAAGTTTCTGCGAACGAGTTAATGTGTGCACGTCTTTACTTTTCATGCCACTGCGTTTCATCTGTTTGCCGCATGGGCTTGCGAAGCACAGCATCACATCTGCGATACAATGCCGTGTAAGTGGCTGGCTGGTCATATGTACTTCCCACTAACGGGTTTTCATCATCTGTATGAGTATTTCGATGTTTCGACTGTCTTTCAACCAGCCTCGTGTTCGACTCAAGCTGAATCTTGAATTAACTGATGAGCCAATCGTTTTGGGGTGAGCCGCGAGCCGAGTAGCTCGTTAGGAAAAATGCTGCTTTGAGCCATGAGCTGGATTATGTTATTTGTAAATTTCATCAGCTGAATCGTGATCAGAGCATTTCTAACAATATCTTGTCAGTGATCCATATGGCTCAACTTAAAATAGGAACATGAGGAAGCACAGCACGTGCCAGGCAAATTAACGGACCATTTCAGAATGTGAAATGCACAGCATGCAGCAGCACTGATTAGCTTTTTGGATAGTTTGTCATTGCAATTTGTAGGGAGCGAGCGCAATGTTTTTTTTATCCCGATTCAAAGTTTATTAAATCTCAGGTGCACCGCCATAAAGAAGACATGCAAAATGTGGTGCGAAAAAGACATATGACCTTTTTACGGTTGGGCATGTTTTCAAAAACTTGCTGAGGTTGAAATCCCACAAAAAGGGATCGAAACAGGAGGCCTCCAAAAGGCGGCCACCGTAGTCAGGCACTCGCCCCATAAAAGCAAGACAAAACAAAAACAAAAACAAAAACAAAACAATTATCAGCGTCGCTATTATCCTGCTACCAGCAGCCGACGCTTCGGTGCAGGACATGGAAGAAAGGTTCAGTCCCACAAACTTCCTGGTAGCTCAACCCAGACAGAGCGAGAGTCCCATCATAGCGAGGGTGCTCAGCACGCTGCTCAACATTCTTCCTGCGACAGTGGTCAACACGACCTGGGGGACGTCCGCCCTGGCTGGGTGCAGTTCCGTTCGCTACTTGCAGATGACTCCTGAGAGTCTGGCCAAGGCTGAGTTCCGAGTCTGGGCGCCCATCTCCTGAGAGTCTGGCCAAGGCTGAGTTCCGAGTCTGGACGCCCATCTCCTGAGAGTCTGGCCAAGGCTGAGTTCCGAGTCTGGAGCCCATCTCCTGAGTGTCTGGCCAAGGCTGAGTTCCGAGTCTGGACGCCCAGGTGGCAGCTCAGCAGGGGGTCGACTCCAGCCTCCGCGGCAGCTGCGTTTGATGACTGTAGTCCGGTATCTCTCCCGGCCATCTACCACCTCCTTCAGAAGTGCAAATGGCGTTGTGCCCTAGATTGAAGATTTTTAAAAGTATCCTTTGATATGCCTTCATCAAGTGATCATATCCACCGGGATATGAATATGTTTAACGCAAACGCAGCCTCTGAATGATTTCGTCTTCGCAATGCCTCGGTCTATGTCTGTGGTGCTAAACGCATTCGATATCTCCTGTTCCGCGCATCTCCTGCATACAGCTGGACGGCACATTGCGTCACAATGTTCCTCCTTTGCGGACCCGTCATCATGCTGGTAGTTTGCAAGACGTTTCCTATTGGAATGATTTCACAGAACGATCGTCCCCGATCCGTTAGGTCCTAGTAGTCCTGCCTGTGTCGACGGCTGAGGCTGAACGCACCTTCAGCAAGGTCGAGGGGGCACCGACCTCACTCCGAGCTGCCATGGGGAGAGAAGACTAGAAGCTGCTAGTAATGTGTGAAGCGCACCAATACAGGTGATGATGATGGTGATAGTGATTTGCGCACCGTGAGCTTCTGCCCAATGCAGCGGACATTCGCCCAGTCTGGAGCACGGATAGGCGAGATTTGCCACGAGCTCTAAAGCTAGGCGAGGATTACTGCGACGCGTACCCGCAGCTTGCGACGGCTGTGTTGGCGTTATATGTATATATGTATATATATATATATATATATATATATATATATATATATAACATGTTCAGATATACCCCCCCACACACACATATATATAATCTAAGCATGTTTGGGTATGATTGTGAGAGCCACTAGGTGTTTAAGTAACATTCTGCAAGAGCGGTTTCCACAAAAAATTGGAGTCGTTATAAGTCACAAGCCGAATCGGATGCCAATCCGAATCCGAATCGGAAATCTATTCTCAGCATTACGTCCGGCGTCTGGCGGCCCGCGCGCATTGAAGTTTTGGCACCAGTGACGTCACGATACGTAAAGCGGAGATGAAGCGAGAGTCAGCGGACGGCTTTCGCTCGTATACGGCCGTGGGAGCGCCCAGTGTTCTATTGCCCCGTGGTGGCGGCGTGCGCGGTGTCTGTGCTTGAGGGATAACTGCGGGGCCGCGCGCGGTACACCGGCCAGGGAACGACTCGCGGCACGCGGTGTGAGGTGCTGAATCTCAGAGTTCCGCGGCGGAGTGTGTTGGTGTTGCGCGTGACGCAGACTCGCCATGGCGCAGGTGAGGAGCGGGCCGACGCGGGGGCCGTGCGCCGGCCGCGCCCGCCGCCCGCGCAGCGCGGAACGAGTCCAGTCTGGACATGGGCTGGCTCGCTGCCCGCCTGGGCTGGGGGCACACAGTTGCGGGTCGGGCAAGTAGCGCAGGGCAGCGAGCGCCTGCTGTTGCACTAGCGGTGCGGCCTGGCAGTGCTAAGTGCTGTCGTGTCACGCCCTGGAGCTGGCGGGAGACATGGCCGCCTCCTCGCGGAGCCGAGTGAAAGGCGCGCGCGGTTGTAATTGTGGGAGCCAAGTCCCTGCAGTGTTTCAGACGCGGTAGTCTCCTATGACGCAAAGAGATGAAAAGAGGTGTGTTGCCGTAAGTCGCCACATGCGCTTCATCCTCTGCGTTTTGTTGTGTTGGCTTGGACGCGAAGTAGGCGGTGTGGTTTATTGACGATGTAAGAAATGGGCGGATGGTGTCCAGCTTAGGATTTACTTTGATAGGTATCAACGGTGCGCTTATGTGGGGAACTTTCAGTGCCCAGAAGCTCCCGAATGTGAAGACAAAACATGGGGCCGATTGGGCGGTACATGCAAAGAGGCAGGCGTAGACGCCCCTGAGGTCTTGTGGCCAGTGCTGGGCGCGTTCCTTCGGCTGCGGGCACGACCTGCGCGCGCTGTGCGTCTGACAAACGAGCGCTCATCTGCGAGCCCGAACGATACCTCCGCGCGTATCTATCGTTGTACTTCACCGACATGTTCACAGGATTTTGCTTCCAAGTGGAGTTTTCCTGACACATAAACAGACAGGGAATAATCTGTCCTCGGCTTCGCGGGAAGATCGCACGTTTCCCTGCTGGCCCATCGTCTGGCAAAATATTTATCTGGCGGGAATGGCGTGAAGAATGCTTCACCACAGCGGATATCGCTCTTGTCTGGGCCGCTGTCCCGTGCTGCTGACGATCCAGGAGCTCATGAATCGCTGTGGAGACTCGCAAACTCGGGCCAGTTTGCGTAGTGTTTCCTCGGGGTCGCCAAATCATGCAGCATCAACAAGCGATGTCAGGGGACCAAGGTGGCCAAATCATAGAGCATCAACAAGCGGTGCCGGGGGACCAAGGTGACCAAGTTATACGGCATCAACAAGCGGTGTCGGGGGACCAAGGTGGCCAAGTTATACAGCATCAACAAGCGGTGTCGGGGGACCAAGGTGGCCAAGTTATACGGCATCAACAAGCGGTGTCGGGGGACCAAGGTGGCCAAGTTATACAGCATCAACAAGCGGTGTCGGGGGACCAAGGTGGCCAAGTTATACAGTACCAACAAGTGGTGTCGGGGAATCAAGGTAGCCAAATCATACATCAACAAGCGATGTCGTGGGGACCAAAGTGGCCAAATCATACAGCATCAGCAAGCGGCGTCGGGGGACCAAGGTGGCCAAGTTATACAGCATTAACAATCGGTGTCGGGGAACTAAGTTCATATGTCAGCTGAGCTACTGAAGACAAAACCCTCCACGCCATCCAAGGGGCTCGCGTTGCATTCATTGCTGCATGCGTCTCTCAATGCACCGGGAGTGCGGGGATGGGGAGGGGCAGGGGACCACACTCCATTCCACAGGTGGTACGCTTCTTGACATTCCGGGTGTAATTGCAGCCGACGACAGGTTGTTCGTGTCAGAGAGTGTACCGCGTGCTGACTGCACAACAGGTTTCCGGACGCAAGGAGCGCTTGGCTGCTGCTACCGCAGGTCTGGCTGAGTATGGCGGCCTGCAGTGGCGACTGACAGCCAGAGGTCAGAACAAATAACACTCGGTGGGGGACCCTGCAAGAACAGCCGGCGTGTGAAATGCCACGAATGCCACGCTGTCGATCAGTACAGCTCGACTGGCCAACCAGAGCAGCCGTACGCCGGTTATTGACCTAGATATATGCGATGCGTGCCCATGCGCCCGCAGGCCTCGTTATCAAGCACAGCATGCGGGCACATGAAGGCATTCACCGCCAGAATGATGTCAGTAGCCGGGCTTGACCTGGGTACGATGGGTCGGTACCCTGAGTCAGACTCCCTGCCATGGGATGGGTAGCCTGGGTTGGCCTGTGTACTACGGGCCGGTATTCCAGGTTGGCCTTCCTACTGTAAGATGGTAGCCTGGGTTGGCTTGCGTACCACGGGATGCCTGCCTATTCCTGCTCCTGGATGGTTCTATTCAGGCTTGTATGGACACTTCGGAGCTGTATTGAACTCCTATGCACATTCACCCAGTACACATATGGTTATTCTGGTATATGGTTATGTCCGTGGTAACATGATCATGTCATGTCATCAGGTCATGTTGGGGGACAAGGGAAGAAGTCTGGGATGATGGATAGAATGTGCGGACTACGGATACTAGAGTAGAATAAGAAACTGAGTATGGAAAGCAGGTAACGTAGCATGGAGCGTGTTCTGCCTACCAGTATCTGTAGCGCTCATCTGCATCTGTATCTGTATCTGTATTTGTAGCGCGCTAGCGTAGCGCTCAACAAGCCTTAAGGAACACCTTAAAAGGACAGCATGGCGCCCACAGCGCCCGTCCGCCGTGCTTCGCAAGTTTTTGCCCATTTGGCCATCGCTGCCGAAAAACGGCCCGCGTTTTTCGGTCGTCTTGGGGCAGGTCACTAGAGGCCAGCGCTCGCCGCGGTTGAAGCGCAGAAGGAGGGCGTCAAAGGCCGGACCGAGGTACCGCGGGAGGCTGCCGTTCTCACAGGCCGCGAGCCAGTGAGTCTGCCTCGTTGTCTCGCGTCATGTTAGAATTTCAGATATTAACTGTGTTTGTTAGTGCGTGTTTGTTTGAATCTCGCCAATTTTTTTCGAGGGGAGCACTAGAAAAGAGAATGAAAATATTTTTCGAATCTCTTACGGTGGTATACGGTGCGGGCTTTTCCAATTTTACATTCAGAAGTGATTGTGGCGTTCAAGTGTTCCCTCTCCCGTACCGTCTGCCCTGGGTGGTTTGCTGATTCTTACTTGTCTCCCTCGTCTGCTGGCTGACCTTCCTGGCTGTAATCGAGTAAGTCGTTCGTTCAGGCGCATGTGTGCCGCTGAGTTTTGGGTCACCTGGTCTCTTGGTCTCCTGATCTCCTGGTCCCTGTGTCCCTGCTTCCCTGCTCCCCGGATCACCTGGTCCCCTGGTCCCCTGGTCGCCGGGTCCCCTAGTCCCCGGGTCCCGTGATCCTCTGGTGCTCGGGTCCCGGCATGCTAGTCACGAGGTCCGCACAACATGCTGATGGTCCTAAGTAGATGCCAGCAGCACAGCTGCGCCTGTCACCGCTGAGGGGCCATGCCGCCTGTCACACCGCTGAGGGGCCGTGCCGCCTGTCACAGCGCTGAGGGGCCGTGCCGCCTGTCACAGCGCTGAGGGGCCGTGCCGCCTGTCACACCGCTGAGGGGCCGTGCCGCCTGTCACAGCGCTGAGGGGCCGTGGACACTGGGGCGCAAATAGCCATTGTATTTGACGCGCCCTTTAAACCATAGGGCTGTCTTTCACACCCTACTGACCTTCACGGGTTACACATCTCTGCTACCACTGGACGTCCCAACGGCCGGCCCGCTCCTCAATTGCGCCGGAATGACGCGTGGGTGTTGCTATGCGGCGTGTGGCGATGACGGTAAAGGCACATGGAGCTCTAAGCAGGCGTGGGCCGTGAAGCGGCGCTGAAAATGACGGTGGTCTCGTGCCTTGACTGGCAATTCCTAGTGGTAGTCTGACCGAATTTGTTTATTGAACCGTCGAAACGTGGGTGTATTGAGTAACACAAGCCGGAAGGAAAAAAGTGAGGTGGGTATGGGGGGGGGGGGAGGGGGGAGGGAGGGAGGCATTGTTCTCCTGCCCCTCCCTCCCGCAGCACCGAGATCGAATTTAAAATCAGCTACGTGTTGTACCACGGGTGAACCGAAGACTCTTGCCGCCCACCATTCTCCTGGTGGCGTGTCAGGCATGGTTGGGCGATGACGCCGCGGTAATCTCGGGCCACACGTCTCGCCGGATGTGTGGGCGTATGGGCAGGGGAGGAGATGACCACATCCGTCAGATGACGCTCGTTCGGCGGCGCCCTGATATGGAGCGTGGGTGGACTGGCTGCGATCGACTGCTGTGTGTGCAGTCGGCGCGCCTTATTGTTCGCATCGTCGCAGCGGGATGGGTGAGCGGAGCTCACGGGTTTTAGTCAAATCAAACGCTCTGCTCATCGCCGTGTTTTTAGCGTGCAATGTTTAAGTCGATAATATTTCATGGTGCATTTCCTCATACCCCCACAACATACCCCCATTAGATGCCCCTTGGATAGTTCTATGCTTGCCGCCCTCTGGCCCCAGCGATTTTTTGAACAGCACGTCGCCCCAAAATACGTCGCGAGACATTTCATTAAAGCGTTTCGCCACTGCTGCGTGAATCTTCCCATCACCGTTAACAATCATTTCCTGGAGCGCAGCAGCCGCCTTTCTCGAGCATTGGGTATCCATTCGTAACCTGCGCACCCATGCAGGTTGAAGAAGGAAACGTCAGGAACGAGCCGGCTCGCATTCTGATGCGCGGCATTATAACCGGGGTAGCCAGGGAGATGAGCCTCCCTCTTCAAGCATGGGTATACGCCCAGCTTAGCCCAGACAACTGGGGTGTGTGGTCAGAGTCACGTACGTTACTGGAGACCACACCCGGAGCATTCATCGCTCGGTTTGGCACGTGCTGAAAAGCGGTCAGAGAACGTTTCCAAGCTGGGTGTAATTGCATCTACTCTCCGGTCCAGGCAGGAGAAGTATTGCCAGTTTGTGTGGTGTCGCTTGTGACCGAGAGCTAAGGTCAGCAGGGGGCGGTATTACCGATCCATCTGGTTGATCTCAGCCCGTTGCAGACGCAGTTCCAGGTGCGTTGCTGCCATTGTGCAGTCTTGATGTATAGTATTTTGATATTCAAAACATTCAACTCTTTTCTCTACTTGAAGCAAAACTTCTTTAGCTGCTGACTGCGTGTGCGCAATGTTCGGACGTTTCAAGGGGATGGCACGCAGAGCAATGTAGCTTACGACAGGGAATGAAACCGCACAAAAGCTTGGGAGGGACATAGTCTATGTCGCAGAGTCCATGTGCCGTATTCGTCCGATATTCATCGAACACCTGCGAGAAGTCAGCAACCAGACAGAGATGGTCCCTTTCGGCGACCAGTTTTGACCCAACTTACATATGCTGGAATTCAGGCAGTTACGAAATACGAACCCTTTATGCGTTGTGGAACGCAAAGTCGTATGCAGAGCACAGGACCATTCAGAGAGAGAATCAATGAATTGATTCTTATAAGAAGTCTGCAACTATACGTGAACGCGCAGGGGTCATCATGACCGATTATCGAATGCGAAAATGTCAGTAAATATCTTTTTCCCAGTTGTTCAACGAGGAATGATGTTATTGGTACTGTTCCTATTTATGTCAAATGCTCCTCGCAGGTGTACTGAGGAACTTACGGAGGTAATTGTGAACAGGCCACCAAAGAACAGCGACTAGAATATGGGTAAAACGTGGAATCAAAACACGCGCTACACACCAATATTATCAGCCGTTCAGTTTCCTTTTCAGTCGGGCGGCTCCATCTGCACCTAGTTGGGCTCCAGCCCTCGCCTTAAATATCTTACAACGTTGTGTTTAGTTTCCATGCCGACACCCCCAGGACTCTGACCCGCTTTGTGCGCCTCCAGATGCTGGGGTCGACTGGCTGACCCAGTGTCGCCCTCTGTCCGCAGCTGTCGGGGACAATTCGCGCCGCCTCTGGCTTTGACCCGGCCGCCGACGGCCATACGCTCCGCAAGGCCATGAAGGGCCTGGGCACGGACGAGAAGGCCATCATCAGCGTGCTCTGCAGGCGGAACAACGCACAGCGCCAGCAGATCGCCGTCCAGTACAAGAGCGGTTACGGTCGGGTACGTGCTCGGTGTTCTGGCGACGCGGAGGTCGGTGCTCAGGGCTGCGATGAGGGATCACAATAAAAGGGATCATAATGACATTGGTGGGATCGCCAAGGTCACGCTCCGCCGAACTTTTCGTTTTGTCTTTTGAACTTTGGTTTTCTTTTCGCTGCCCAGCTGACGAACTTTTGATTTCAGTTCAGGAGGCAAGTATATTTCGGATGTCGCGTGGCGTTTGTGACATGTCCAAAGCCTGAGTGAGGCGTGAATCCGGTAGGATGTAGGTAGGACGGAACTTGCACGCTTTGGACGCGCCAAAACTTTCCACTCCACGCAGTTTTGTTTGGCATAGTATTGCTAGCCTGTGCCACTCCATCGCTTTCGTTGCTATCTCAGTTCGCGACGCTCTCCGCCTGCGCCACCAGCGCCTGACCGCCCCCCTCCCCCTCCCCCCGCCATTCGCAGGACCTGATCAAGGACCTGAAGTCGGAGCTGGGCGGCAAGTTCGAGGACGTGATCCTGGGTCTGATGATGCCGCCCTACGAGTACCTGGCGCAGCAGCTGTACAAGGCCATGGAAGGCTTGGGCACGGACGAGGACGTGCTGTTCGAGACGCTGTGCACGCACAGCAACGCGGAGGTCCGCGCAATTAAGGAGACGTACCAGAGAAGTACGCAGACCGGCGCCGAGTGCGCAGTGTCCCCACCTAGCGGCAGAGCAGGGTCCTCACGGATGTCGTCCGGAGGAGTGCGGGGACGCGATGAGCCACTGGGTGGTCGTTTCTTTTCCTGTGGGTAGCGGCGGAGAACGCGGCTGAGGTTGGGGTCAACCCGCTTTTCTGACGTAAGGGCTGGTCATATTCGATGCGCATGGAGAAGACCGCGGAGAACATCGCCGTTGCGTTATGGCTTTTTCGCACGGGGATTGTACCGGGGTCCGCGGTTTAGGCAGCAACAACTGTTAGTCCACAAATGAGCCACCGTTTTACTGTATATGACACCGATTATAGTTTTAACGATGACAACCGATATAGTTTTATACCGTGACACCGATATAGTTTAACCGGAGACACAGTGATAGTTTTACCGATGACACCGATGATAGTTTTACCGATGACACCGATGATAGTTTTAGTATGATAAATAGTATTAGCGAGTTTACAGTTACACTGATCTAAGCAATGAGAGTATGCCTCTAATAGTGATCATGGGACCATTTTGGTGTGGTTTGCAGTGTAAAATCGTAACTTGGAGAGGGACGTGCATAAAGAGACGAGCGGCCATTTCAGGAAAATTCTCACAGCTCTTCTGCAGGTAAGGTTGTGGTGGCCTTTGTCCTCTGACCCTGCCTGGGCGTGGTAGAGTGAGGGCTAGGCAAAACACCTAATTACTGCTCCGAACAGAGGGGAATGAGGCATAATCCAACTAGACCCATATCAAAAAGCTGTGCGCAGTAAAAGCTTATTTAGCTGCCTGTGTGGGGGCCTTCGCCCACTCGCTTACATCATGCTTGATGCCAAATATGACATAAAACGCTAAAGATATGCTGAAATTACATGGCAGACTATTAACGTTGATTACTGCTAATACTGCTTTGCTTTCGTCGGAGTACGCTGCGTTAAAAATGGAAAAATGTAAAAAAAGGAAAAAAATGGAATGCAGCTGGAATACAACCTACGTTCAGCGCTTTCCAGTCATGGAATCTCACTGCCGTCCCCACATACACATACAGACAAGCTCACTGAGACACCCCCTTCCCCGAACCACCGACGGCTGGTTGGCGCTGCGCATGCTGTGTCTCTGCTGGCTATGCACAGCTGGAGCGCGGGTGGTGGCCTGCCCTGACTGTCTCTACCACGGCCGGGCCGGGTCCCCCGCCGCCCCCGGGTGGCCGTCACAGCCCGCTCCGCTCTGGCCTGCAGTGTACCACCGGTCTCTGGAGCAGTCGGTGCGCTCTGAGGTCAGCGACCACTTCAAGCGTCTGCTCACGGCCATCCTGCAGGTGAGGGCGGGTGGCGCGACTTGGGGAGGTGGCGCGACTGAGGAGAGGTGGCGCGACCGAGGGAGGTGGCGCGACTGGGGGGAGGTGGCGCAACTGAGGGGAGGTGGCGCGACCGAGGGAAGGTGGCGCGACCGAGGGGAGGTGGCACAACTGAGGGGAGGTGGCGGACTGGGGGAGACAGCGCGATTGAGGGAGGTGGCGCGACCTGGGAGGTGTGGCGCGACCTGGGGAGGTGGCGCACCTGGGGGTGGCGCGACCTGGGGAGTGGCGCGACTTGGGGAGGTGGCGCGACCTGGGGAGGTGGCGCGACCTGGGGAGGTGGCGCGACCTGGGGAGGTGGCGCGACCTGGGGAGGTGGCGCGACCTGGGGAGGTGGCGCGACCTGGGGAGGTGGCGCGACCTGGGGAGGTGGCGCGACCTGGGGAGGTGGCGCGACCTGGGGAGGTGGCGCGACCGGGGAGGTGGCGCGACCTGGGGAGGTGCGCGACCTGGGAGGTGGCGCGACCTGGGGAGGTGGCGCGACTTGGGGAGGTGGCGCGACCTGGGGAGGTGGCGCGACTTGGGGAGGTGGCGCGACCTGGGGAGGTGGCGCGACTTGGGGAGGTGGCGCGACTGAGGGGAGGTGGCGCGACCGAGGGAAGGTAGCGCAGCTGAGGGGAGGTGGCGCGACCGAGGGAAGGTGGCGCGACCGAGGGGAGGTGGCGCGACTTGGGGAGGTGGCGCAACTGAGGGGAGGTGGCGGACTGGGGGAGACAGCGCGATTGAGGGGAGGTGGTACGGCGGGCACACGGCCGGCCAGCCGACCACGCGCAGTTTTGGGGGCGTGTTGGCGGCCGGATACAGTCAGAGCTCGTATAGGACATCTGACGAGGGCTGCGTATTCTCTGATTTATTTGCGGGGCTGCGTCACGCCAGGTAGACGCCAGCAGGTCTGAGATTCAGGCTACTAGGGACGGATGGGGGGGGGGGGGGGCTACTAGGGACGGACGGACTACTAGTCACGCGCACTGTCCTAGAAAATGTCTTGGGGAGACCAGACTCCATCTCGTGTAGAAACACACTCGGTGCGTACGCCCCAGCACCACACCATTCATAAGGTGTGACGTGCAGTCACTGCACTGAGGTGAAGACCGCCTGTTTGTCATGCCATTCCGATGACCCGGACTGGGTCGAGACACGCAGAAACCGCGCTCATATCCTCTAGCACGTGACCAACGCGGGTGTGCTGCCGCGCACCCCTCATTTCATCGTCAAGAAAACGCTGCCGTGACTCATTCAGCTGATGAAAGTAGGGATGTGTCAGGTCGGGGAAGGAAGCAAACATAGGATCGTTGAACTAAAAAGGCGCACACTAACGTGACTCAAGCCCTAACTCTGTACCGCATGCCCTTAATGCGTGACGTCGCGTGCTTCCACGCGTTTGGTTGTGGTCAGCAGCTTCTCAGAGCCATTCACCCCGCAGCCTGAGTGAGGATGCTGCAGAGCTTGCTTGTGACGCTTCGTGTGACGTTGGTGTTGGGACGGCAGAGTACGCTCTGGCTGTTACGATTTTGACCTTTGACGCTGTCCTCGCGTCTGATTTGCCTTATGAAGCACGTCTCCCTCCCGAAGGAGTGTGGCCTAGCCGAGCTGTGGTGCTGTGCCGTGTCCTCGTTGTCCGACGCTCATCATCGGGCGACAGCTGGGGCCATCTACAGCTCTATGCAGCACCGAAGCTGTGTACTTCACTCGTCTGATCATGTTTACGTTGGGTTGCGTTAGTTACCACGTCTTTGTGTAATCAAGCTCTGGATAGATTGTTTTAGCATGATAAAGATAAATCTCACCCACTAATTTAAAGTGGCATCGTATGCCCGCAGATGTGTTTATGCATCGCGAATAATTATGCCAAAATGTCGTGGCACTTGCTGTCGAGAAATGGTTATTATTATTATGCGTACTTTTTCCACTATGACCGTCCGGGCTTCAGGCCAAGCGACGCAGAAAGTCATGCATTCCGCCACGCCCTCAAGCAGCTCGTGCTGACCTTTGACCCTCGGCAGGCGAGCTCGTGCTGATCTCTGACCCTCGGCAGGCGAACCGCGACGAGTCGGGCCGGGTGGACCAGGCCAAGGCGGCTAACCAGGCGCAGGCGCTTTACAAGGCCGGTGAGAAGCCTGCAGCTGCTGAGCCTGACGCCCGGGCGGCGCGGCTCCACCCCGTCGTCCTGGCGCAGTGTCCCACGTCCCGACTGAGCCTGACGTCCGGGCGGCGCGGCTCCACCCCGTCGTCCTGGCGCAGTGTCCCACGTCCCGACTGAGCCTGACGTCCGGGCGGCGCAGCTCCACCCCGTCGTCCTGGCGCAGTGTCCCACGTCCCAACTAAGCCTGACGCCCGGGCGACACAGCTCCACCCCGCCGCCCTGGCGCAGTGTCCCACGTCCCAACTGAGCCTGACGCCTGAGCGGCGCAGCTCCATCCCGTCGTCCTGGCGCAGTGTCCCACGTCCCAACTAAGCCTGACGCCTGAGCGGCGCAGCTCCATCCCGTCGTCCTGGCGCAGTGTCCCACGTCCCGACTGAGCCTGACGCCCGGGCGGCGCGGCTCCACCCCGTCGTCCTGGCGCAGTGTCCCACGTCCCGACTGAGCCTGACGCCCGGGCGGCGCAGCTCCACCCCGTCGTCCTGGCGCAGCGTCCCACGTCCCAACTAAGCCTGACGCCTGAGCGGCGCAGCTCCATCCCGTCGTCCTGGCGCAGTGTCCCACGTCCCAACTAAGCCTGACGCCTGAGCGGCGCAGCTCCATCCCGTCGTCCTGGCGCAGTGTCCCACGTCCCAACTAAGCCTGACGCCTGAGCGGCGCAGCTCCATCCCGTCGTCCTGGCGCAGTGTCCCACGTCCCGACTGAGCCTGACGCCCGGGCGGCGCGGCTCCACCCCGTCGTCCTGGCGCAGTGTCCCACGTCCCGACTGAGCCTGACGCCCGGGCGGCGCAGCTCCACCCCGTCGTCCTGGCGCAGTGTCCCACGTCCCAACTGAGCCTGACGCCCGGGCGGCACAGCTCCACCCCGTCGTCCTGGCGCAGTGTCCCACGTCCCGACTGAGCCTGACGCCCGGGCGGCACAGCTCCACCCCGTCGCCCTGGCGCAGTGTCCCACGTCCCAACTGAGCCTGACGTCCGGGCGGCGCAGCTCCACCCCGTCGTCCTGGCGCAGTGTCCCACGTCCCGACTGAGCCTGACGCCCGGGCGGCGCAGCTCCACCCCGTCGTCCTGGCGCAGTGTCCCACGTCCCGACACGCCCCGCTCGATCATAGCTGCACCGCGCCGGTCCACCTTGGAGCTGCCCCGACCCGCCCGGCTCCCGGTCCCAGCCCAGGCAGCCAAAGTGACCCTTTCAGACGGCGCAGCTACGAAACGGCCTGTTTTTATCTTTTTTCTTTTTTTTTTGGTTGAGAGAGTCCCATGGCACCAATCTAACCAGAGCCCGCGCGCCCGCGAGCCCGTTGGGCAGTGACTCTGGCGTCATTGTTTACGTCTCAGAGGCTGCACCGCTCCGCGGGGTTGACATCTGTATCACGCAGAGTCGTTGCGGGCTGGACAATCTGCTTGCGTTGCGCTCGTGGCGTTCGGTGTTGGCTGACAACTTTGGTCTTTCGAGTCTATGAAAAGTTGTATATGCTGTCTTACGTCAATAACACGGGTGTTGATTTTTATCGTTTTGGGTGGACCACTGCCCCCCCCCCCTTCCCCCTATGGTCTGACTTGGCCCCCTACTGTAAGTCGGTCGTCCTCTAGCCTTCTGGAGATTTAGTGCGAGAAGAACGTTAAGAATGGGAGCTAAAGGCTGTTAGTATTCTGGGGGAAGTTTGTAGGAGATGTAAGAGAGATAAGAATGTCTGTATCTCTAAACAGTGAAAGCCAACAAAGACAGCGAACACCGCGGTGTCCTGTCCAGCTAAGTACAGATGATTAAGCCAGTCACAGTTTTAGGCCTCCACGTTCATACAGTATTTGCTCGATCATTTTCTGTGTTTACTACGTGCCGCATGATTGTTTTTACACCATCCATGTCTGCCCGACTCTATTCGATTTTTGTTACAAGACCTTATCCAGCGATGTTTGAACTTCTACAGCCTGCAATAATTTGCATTATTCTGCCTTAACGTGTTATCCAAGGCTGCAAAAACGAACAAGACTTGGTCGTGTCAGTGAACCGTTGATCAATGAAAACAAACCCGTCGCATATTAGCACACCAAAACGTGACGAATCGACTAGCCGTCACCCACTAGTCGAATCTACATTCGAAGGCACCATTGACATGTGCTAACGTCCACTTCGACGCCAGTTTTCAACGAAATAGTCTCAAAAGCACGATGATCGACGCCCGCCGACTAGAGCGATAGCCGTAGCGGCCCGACGACCATTAACCGATCATTAAACGACCATTAATGGCCCACCGCCAAAACTACACAAGTCGTGTCGAGAATACTTGACTTGAGTGCTGATTTCCAGCCTAAAGCCCGTCCTGCGATCAGGGGCTTCCGAGACAGTCTGGAATAGTGGCGCGCACCAACTACCACTCTGTATCCTGGTGTTGTATGATGTATTGTATTTTGTTTTTCTTCACAACCATCCGTGGGGTGAATTTTCAGGTTTCGGCTTGTTGCAACGTTTGCTAGCTTAGGGTCGTTACATCACTCACTCACTCGTTGCAACACATCACAAGAAAATATTTATACAAAACAGGTGATGCCACGAACTAGATGTAATAGTAAAATGTATGTAAAAGTATAAAAAGATGTAAAAGATGTAATACTACGAACTAGACTATAGAATATGATAACATACAGCATGATAAAGTACGGTACGATAAATACGATCCGATAAATATGGTCCGATAAATACGGTCCAATAAATACGATGCGGTCACGCAGGTAACCAGCATAGGTTTAAAACTAAGACGCATCACCTAAACATTTGCGTTTTGAAATGCGAGTTTTTAATCCCTCAGAATTCAGAGATGAAGACAGATTGGCGGTCGAGGGCAGGCGGCTCCAAGTTGCCGCGGCACGATAAGGAAAGGATACAAATCCCGAAGGTGTGCACGCGAAACAACATCTTAAGTCACTTGACAATAGCCTATGTGCTACATCATCCCCATGCTGATAACTGAAAGCCGGCGTCGACCGTCAACGCCCCCCAAAAAAGAAAGAAAATATTATGCTGCCCGACGGCGACATCTTCCTCCGAGGAAGAGCGAGACGGCGAGGTAGAGCAGAGATGTGGCTTCCTTTTCAGCTGTGTTCAGCTCTTTTGGATTCATGTGTTTCCCATTCGTTTTTTTTCCTTTTTAGTTGTTCCCTATTCAGCTGTTTCCTGTTCGGTGGTTTTCTTTTCAGTCTAGTCCCCCCCCCCCTCAACTTTGAGAGGGAAGCGAGTCAAATCCAGGGAAGAACCCGTTATAGTACATTTTGGGTAAGTTTAGTCATTTTCCCCAGCTTATCACACAAACGCGTCCTGCGAAACTACTCCCCTGAGGTTGAGGCTTAATGATCGTGACACGCAACAAATTCAGCACATTACTTCAGCATCCATCATCAACATGCAAAACAAAGTACACTTGCAACTACAATTGTACAACATGCGACTAGTGAAACAGACTCTTAAACACATTAAACATCAGAATGTAGGACACGAGAGTACGCTCGACAAATAATTCTTAATGATAGTGGGGCTGGAATATTCTAGGTTTTTGACGGTGGTCCGAGTGATTATCAAGCAAGTGATATATTTATCTGTCGACTTCACCATTCGTGTACGTGTTGTTCACTAGTTGTCGTTTGGCACGGCTGAGTTCAGCGCGTAAAAGCTCATAATTTGAACACATGAGCAATGCCCCACAAACACATGCTTTGACAACGCTCTTTTTTATTTGACCCGACGCGATCCTGCCCCCTCCCCCCTCAGCATTCATTTGGGAAAATCAACATCCGTGGTCCATAATGGACGCTGTTTTACGTATCAGTAGTATGGAGTCTTCCCAGAGAACACAACCCCGACCAGACCTGTTAATCTGGTATCTGGTAAACATCTAATTCGTTCCGATAATCTAATGAAAGGCTAGATCCGAATAGGATGGCAATAGCATACAATGCATACCATGTGGGCGGCATAACATGCGTCATACCGGTGGTAGCGTTTATTTCAGCGACTTTCTTGCCACTGCCCTGCACTTACCCACCTCGTGACTTCACGCCAGTGTGTGCATGCGAGCTCCGCTGGCCAAGTGGCGCTACAGCACCATCTCTCTTCAGGCGAGAAGAAGCTGGGCACAGACGAGGAGACGTTCAACGTGATCCTGGTGACGCAGAACCCTGCTCAGCTGCAGGCCATCATGGCCGAGTACGAGAAGATCTCCAAGAAGGGCTTCATCAAGGCCATCGAGTCGGAGACGAGCGGGGACTACCGCCAGGCTCTGATGGCGATTGGTGAGTGTGCCGGCGGCCCGGACTGCCGCTGGGCTGGCCTGACGAGCGGGGACTACCGCCAGGCTCTGATGGCGGTTGGTGAGTGTGCCGGCGGCCCGGACTGCCGCTGGGCCGGCCTGACGGGCGCGGCTGCTGCTGTCATCAGTGTCGCGACCTCTCATCTCGGTTGAGGGGAAACCAAACCGCGGCAGGTAGCAAGCCGCTTACCCGCACGCTCCAGTTATGACACTGGTACGATAGGAGCGCGCGATTTTGTTACCGACCCTTGTCCACTTTCGTCGCTGTCAGAATGGCATCTCGTATCCCGGGTTCATGTCTATGCCCCTACGCACATTACCCACATACCTGGGATACACAACTCTCCACTAATGGTGTAGTTCCCTTTTGAGCTAGGGCAGGGTAATTTCATCCCTCCCCCGCCCAACGTGGGTTCCATACCCTCAACTTTGGGAAGAAAGTTGACCAGATCTGGGAAAAGCCTATTTTACTGGCATATTTGGGGCTTAGCTGGGTCATTCTTCGCTGTTCAGCACCCAATTCATTTTGTGAAATTACATCCCTACCCTCGACCCCCATCGGCAGCTGCCCCTTCTCTCATTGATTGGCATCTGTCCCTATCTTCCATCGACTTTTGCCCGTCTCCTGCTTCTGATCGAGAGGTACAGTTTCCCATTCAGTGGGAGAGGGGGGGGGGGGAGGGGCTTTGAGGTGTGTTGGGTTATTTTTTGCTTATCAGCTCCTCCCCCCCTCCCCCCGACAACTCAATTTGCGGTACTACCCTCCTGCACTGAACGGTGTTCTGTTACGGGCCTGGGTGCATCATACTCGGTCAAGGACAGAAATCCTTCTCCTATGTCACTGACCTGAGTTTGTCTCCCGCCTCTGGCCCGCGTTCGAACCACTCTTTCCCTGGCGTCCCCTCCGTGCCCCTGCCGTACCCGGCCCCCCCCCCCCCCCCGTCCCCTGCCGTGTCCAGCTGACTCCCGTCTCCTCCCGCGCTCGGCTGACTCCCGTCCCCTCCCGTGTCCGACTGACTCCCGTCCTCTCCCGCGCCCGGCTGACTCCCGTCCCCTCCCGTGCCCGGCTGACTCTCGCCCCCTGCCGTGCCCGGCCGACTTCCGTCCCCCGCCGTGCCCGGCTGACTCCCGTCCCCTCCGGTGCCCGGCTGACTCCCGTCCCCTCCCGTGTCCGGCTGACTCCTGTTCCCCTCCCGTCCCCTTCCGCACCCGGCTGACTCCCGTCCCCTCCCGTGCCCGGCTGACTCCCGTTCCCCTCCCGTGTCCGGCTGACTCCCGTGCCCCTCCCGTGCCCGGCTGACTCCCGCGCGTCCCGCAGTGAAGAGCTCGCTGAATCGGACGGCCTACTTCGCCGAGCGCATGCGTGACACCATGAAGGGGCTCGGCACCCGCGACAACGACCTCATCCGCCTGATCGTGTCGCGCGCCGAGTACGACCTGGCCAACATCAAGCAGGAGTACCTCAAGCTGTACGGCAAGACGCTGGAGAAGGACGTGGCGGTGAGTCGGCCGTGCGAGAGGAAGCCCGGCGCAGGCGACGGTGGGGAGAGAGCTACGCTACCCTCCACGCTTGGCGCAGCAGCTCGACCGCCCATCGAACTCCGTCGAGAGCAACATCGCGTTTTCGTAGCTCACTCGACTTGCTTTAGTTGTGTGTGATGTGGGACAAAGAAGATGCACTGCTTTGTCCCACAGCACACCCGAATCATCTTGATTTACCATCTCGCTCAAATGACTAATCCGTTGGTATGATGGTTTTTTTTCTTTCAGGCCTTCCCGGCGGTTAACCACCGCTCCCATCAACCCATGCTGCATCAGTGCCTCTTTGTCATACGGTGGAGTGGGGTCCCCACGCTCACTATGAGCCCTGACCCCCCATGTCCTTTTCCAGAGCGAGACGTCTGGCGACTACAGGAGGGCGCTGGTCATGATCGTGGAGGGCAACTGAGGACACCACCGTCCGCGCGCCGGGAGAGGCTGGCTGAGCGCCTCACGGGCGTCACACGGGCAGTGACACCGGCGACCTGGCGCCGGCCGAACCTCGGAGTCGGCGAGGCGAGCTGGAGGGCGGCCGGGCTCGAGACCGTCCACGCACGGGCTCCCGTGCGGTGCTCGACAGCGCACGTGGGAGAGTGGCGCGCGGTGATGGCGATTGGCGGCGCTGATGGCGCGGGGATATTTCCTCCACTGCGTGCAAACGAAATGCTTTCGTACAAAAAGCTGGACCGTGTTAGGGAAACGAGTATGTTGACTTGGATCGGAAGGTATATTTTAGCGTTGTCCGTATTACCCGTGGATGCGCTTTTCGCCTGCTTCGGCTTGAGGGTAAAGCGTTCTGTGCGACGGTTCACGTAAGGCAATGACAATAATGGCGCATCTTTGACGCATCTAACATTTCCAGTCTTCCCAAATGTATGCCGAGCTTGCATATGCCTGGCAATATCTTACGGCCCACGGGCTTTGAAACTGTGCTTTTATACGCGTTTCGCGGCATGTTTCAGCTGTGTGTTTCACTGATCTTCGCTCCGCGTATGGTGGTTTAGCTCGCTGTTGTTTTCAACGGAGCCGGCGGTCTTATATATGCAGTACTGTCAGTGCAATGTTGCGTTCACGCACGGTGGGCGCTGTGAATGGCTACGGTCTCACTGTCGCGCCCAACTTTCGCCGCGTCGCGTTGACATGTCTTGGCCGCATGGAAAACAAAACCGCCCTGAATCATCGGCGTTTGTTCAGTCAACTGAACGGTCGAGCGCAGCGGATGCTGAAGGAGTGTTCAATGGCCGGTCCGTGTCAGTCCCCTGGTACTGGTTCCCACGGGGGCTCGACGAGGTCTCACCAGTCTACAATGCGCATTATCCGCCGCGCGTGGGCTGACGCGGCAGTTCGGCTGCTGTCCTCTGTGGGTGCGGCAGCAGCCCCGGCAGAATACCTCCGCTCCGACGAGGGGAGGCGTTCCTCCCGAACCGCGGCCCGCAGCGACTGTCTCGCCGAGCAGACTCGCGCCAGCCGCCTCAGACGGCCACGGTCATCGCTGCCGTCGACTCCCCCACCGCCCGTGCGGCGGGCCGTCGGAGTCCGCCTGGCGCGACTCCGACCGCGATCCGTCCTGCAGCCCCCATCTCGCAAAAACCGCTCGTTGCCGATGCCGACAGTGTATTGGGTCGCCGCGTCTCCAGCAGGAGGCCGGCGCGGTTGCAAGCCCGGTCAGTCGTTCGATCGGAGCCGGCTGTTCGAGCTCCGCATACAGCCGTGCAGAGTCTGTCGACGGCCACACACTGTCGGCCGGCCCAGACTTACCTAAGGCGGCGAACGCGCCCACCAACCACGTGCACTCACGCGCGCGGCACGATACGCCTATATACAAATATACGCGACACACATGCCGTGTCAAGAATTCAAAGACCGACGTTCCCGCCGCGGTACACGGCAGGTACCGTCACCCCTTCCCCCCCCCCCCTGACCTAAGTCACAAAGTGAATCGGGTCAGTGCGCACACGCCCCGCCAGCCTAAAGCTAGTTGTACACTCGTCCAATCAGGAGGCGGGTGGGCGGAGCCCAGGTTCGCTCGGCCAACCTGCAGCGCGCAGCACCGGCTCTCAGCCAATCGGCACGACTCGGAGCCGCTCGCGGCCAATCCGTGGCGAGCGGCGGCCGTCTGCGACCAATCGGCGGCGAGCCGGGGCCGCCGGAGCCTAATCGGCGACGAGCAGCGACTGGCTGAGACCAATCGGCGACCAGCAACGACTGGCTGGGACCAATGGACGCGGCCACTGGTGATGATGAGATGACGGTGTGCGGGAGGCGGCGATGCGAGGCGCGCCCGACGGCTCGCGCCGTCCCCGCCGCCGGTTACTCGTCCGTGAGCTCTGCGAAAACAGATACCGACGTCACGTGACGCAGGGAGCGAGCGGAGGAACGCAGCAGGACGCGATGAAGACGGTCGCTATCATTCATTAATGTTCAAGGAGTCAGGTGGCAAACTACACCCACATATCATCTCTACAACCATCAACTCTAGCCACGCCAACACTGTTAGATGCAGTAGCCTTCGAACCCCGCCGTTCCTCCATGCCCGCAGGCTCGGTATCTGCCCCTATCGTGCGCCCCTCCCCAGATGCAGGGGAGGTCCAGCGTTTGTCGCCGTCCTCAGGCCAAGTCTCTCGCAGCGTGCATGTCATCCCTGCATCCCCAGTATCTATGCACTACACCGTCCCCGGTCGCACGCCGCCCACCCTGTCAACGGCGGGGCCGCTGCCCCCCCCCCCCCCCCAGACCACTTACCGGCCGTGTCCAGGCCGCTGATGTCGCTCAGGTCGGCCATGACCGTGGTGCCGTCGGCCAGCACGATGCGCACGCGCCCCTCCTCGTCTACAGTCCCGGTGAGGCCCGTCTCCTGCAGGCCCTCCTCCTCCTCCATCATGCCTGCCGGCGGCGCCGCGGGGCGTCAGCGGCATCGCCGCGCCGCTGGCGGGGGTGGGGTGCAGGCGGGGGAGCGAGAACGAACGCGGCAGCAGCTGAGCGTCACGGCCGCGTCAGTGTAACAGAGCAGCAGCGCACGCCGCGTGGAGACGCCGCCATGGGAACCCTGCCGAGGCCGGCACCAGCTGGCTGCGCTGGTGCGGCCCGTGGTGCGGCGCTGGCGAGGCGGTCAAGCCGGCCATGCTAACGGAAGCAGCAGAGAGATAGACCTTTGCCAAGGCCGGTTCGTACTGCATGATCAGTGACATTCGAGTGCATCATATATATCATGCCTGTGGTTTGCTGCGGACGTACAAAATCCTAACTGTGGATGCGCAAAACGTTTGAGCCCCCGAGACAGACACATGGAGCAAAACAAAACATTATGCTTCTATGCCTGATCATTTCGGCAATCACGGCACGCAAGGCACTTACCGACCACCTCCTCCGTAACAGCCACATCGCTGTCCCCAGCGGCGCCCACCGTCAACTGCTGATTGACGTCCTCACCGACAGATGGCACCACCAGCACGTCTCCGCCAGCTGACGCCTGCCGCACGCACTGCGGTTACGAAGGTTGGCGACGCAACACATCATCGACCACCCCAATTACTCCGGAACGCATCTAAATGAATTCAACAGCTGGAGAAAACGGTCATAACGACAGCAAAGTAACGACACGGGACCTGCCGCTCAAAACGACGGCCACAAGCAGCACGACCACCCAGCCGCGACCGTCACGACGTAACCACACCGGCCATGCGTCAGACTCATCACACCACATCACCACCCGAGCGTCCGGGTGCCCCCGTGGCGCGCGTGCCCCGGCACGGCGCCTCCGAGGCACGCGTGCCCCGCCACGGCGCCTCCGAGGCGTGTGCGACCCGCGACGGCGCCTCTGAGGCGTGTGCGACCCGCCACGGCGCCTCCGAGGCGTGTGAGACCCGCCACGGCGCCTCCGAGGCGTGTGCGACCCGCCACGGCGCCTCTGAGGCGTGTGCGACCCGCCACGGCGCCTCCGAGGCGTGTGAGACCCGCGACGGCGCCTCCGAGGCGTGTGCGACCCGCGACGGCGCCTCCGAGGCACGTGTGCGACCCGCCACGTCGCCTCCGAGGCACGTGCGCGACCCGCCACGGCGCCCCTGAGCGGCCAGTCTCACCAGTTCGCCGGGCGCGGCGCCGGCCGCCGGCGGCGCCTGCTTGCTCTCGCTCTCGCAGATGAGCGCCAGCATGTCGAGGTCCGACTTCTGCTGCTTCTGGGCCGGCGTCTGCGCCTCGTCCGAGTCCGAGCTGGACGCCTGCCGGGCCGGGGCCGGTCAGCGCGCGGACAGGGGCGCGGCGCGGGCGAGCGCCAGGCCGCCAGCGCTCCAGTCACGCGGACACCGGGCGGACAGCCAGACGGCAGACACAGCCGGGGCGCCGGTCGAGTCGCTGCGCACTCCACGCGGCGCCGAGCGGCGGCAGCACTGCGGCGGCCGGGCGGTTAGCCGGTGATAAGTACTTCGCGTCCGCTGGCATGAAGGATACGCGGTGTCCACTTCTCAGCGTCACGCATGGTCAACAGCACGGCCGTAGCAACGGCCTACCCATGACCAAACTACCGAACACCACATGCAGCAGTCGGCCTCCCGTATAGCTCTTACTCCACTTGGACGCCGCTTCCCGGCCCTTCCCCCCCCCCCCCCCCTCCGCCAGCAGCACGCCCCCGGTACCTGCAGGTCATCCTCCAGCGAGACGAAGCGCGGCAGCTGCTGGGCGCCGGCGCGCGCCGGCGGGGTGTCCGGATCGAAGATGGAGGCGGCGCGGGCCGGCGCCGCCGCCGTGCGCTGCTGGTACTGCAGCCGCTCCAGAATCGACATCTCCTGCTGCTTCGGGTCCTTGCCGCCTGCGGACAAGCCGGAGGCCACATGAGTCAGGCGTGCGCCGGTGCAGCCGGCCCTCACCGCCGGCTCGGCTCACCTCACCTCACGGCCCCGGGCTCAGCGGTGTGCGGCGGCGTGTGCGCCTCACCGCCTAGTCACCCGGGACACAGGACATGGGTGTACCAGCGCGTCAGGCTCTTGTCTAAAGGGGTGAGCGGGGTTCGCCTACGAGATCAGACAGATTGAGGATCATCTGGCGACGGGTGGCTGCTCGAGAGTTGGCCGTTTCTTCGCCAGACTTTGGCCAGGATAGCGATCCCTCCGTCCTCCACATGCAGATATAGCATCACTTGCATCTCGCGTACCGCTCACAAACACATCCTCAAACATCCTCGCTCACGCCAACAGCTGGGGTCACAAAGGGCGCACCAACAGCCCGAGGCCACCGCGCCCCCTCCCGGCGCGCGCCGCTCACCGTCCTCCAGCTCGAGCGCGCGCCGGTCCGGCCGGCGCGCCACCGGCTTCTTGCGCGCCACCACCACCAGCCGGGTGGGCGGCTGCTGCTGCGCCGGCTGCTGCTGGTGGTGCTGCTCGTGCGGCGGCGGCGGCGGCGGCGCCATGGCCGACGGCGGCGGCGCCAGCCGGAAGTGCGGCCGCCGCTTTATGTACTTGATGTCCTCGTTCACCCAGACCGGCTCCAGCAGCTGGCGCGACGGGCCCAGGCCCACCCGCTTCCTGCGGCAGCGCACGGGGCCACGTTCAGACTCGTACTAGGTCAACGTTCAATGCGAAGACGACTGTTCGTCCGCAGCATGGTATTGCGCACATGCACCTCATGCCGAAACGAGAAGAACTGAAGGCACAATGACAGTTAAGTTACATCTGCAGTTAAGCGGTACATCTGTCACCACCACAGGGATAAGGAGGACTCTCGAGGGAGGGGAGGGAGGGGAGGTGTGGCGGCGGAGACGGAAGGGAGGGGGGAGGGGGGGGGGGGCAGAGGCGCAGGATGATGGCGCTCATCTGAGGTGGGACGGCGAACGCCCGAGGCAGGCCAGCTTTATAGTGCACTGTAACCCGCCGGTCACATCACAGACATGGGAAATGAGGCGAGCGAGTCCCGGCTACACATCGCATCGCAAAAGCCGAGCATGGGAACACGTCGAGAATACATCTCCCCCCCCCCAAAAAAAAACACGCTTTCCCTCCGCCGCGCGCAATTGCCACAGCATCACCTGCATACCCAGACGCCCACCCATCCACCGACCCCGGGGCGATCAGCGCGGCGCGTCTCCAGACGGGGCTCCCCGAACGGGCGACCGTGCTGGGCGGCGCCCCCCCCCCCCCCCCACGCTCCGCCCCACTCACCGCGTGGTCTTGGCCAGCTCGCGGAGCGTGCCGTCCTTCTCGCGCCGCTTCGGCACCACGTTGACCTTGACGGTGCCCCAGCGCGTGTCGAGGTCGAGCGCGCGCGTCTGCTGCGCCCCCTCGAACGTCTGGATGACCGGCGGCAGCACCATGATCACCGGCTTGCCTGCCGAGACGGTGGCCGAGCGCGCGTTAGACAGGGCGCTTGCGGCGAGGTCAACGGCAGCTGGCCGGCACGACACGACACATGACGACAGTGCTACGGAAGGCCACCCCAGAGGGAACGTGATCGGTCTTGATCTGAAGCTGGCGGGTCAGACGCTGGATGGGAGCACCATCCTGACGCTTGGGGAGACGGTGCGGAGGGATGAGGGGGGGGGGGACAGGAGCGACACCCTCCCGGCACTGCCACCCTAGAGACGGAACGTCAAACGGAGCCGCCGTCGTCACCCCGCGCAGGGCTCGGAGGCCGGCCGAGCAGCCGAGCACCGCCAGCGCCCGGCGGCGTGTCAGGCTCGGCAGGCCGCTGCGCCGCCGTGCGCACCACACCGACGTCCTCTGCAGAGCAGCGCGCCACTCCGACACACCGCTCCTGGCCGTGCGCACGAGCGCAGCTCGACAGCCCCGGCCGGCCCGGGGGACAGGCGAGGCGAGCACCCGCGCCTCGCGCCCGCAGCCAGCGGTCGCCCCGTCGGCGAGACCGCCGGCCGCCCCTGACGCGCCGACCCCGGCTGACCGGCACGGCGGCGGCAGCAGCAGGCCGGCTGGCTGCGCACGAGCCGGCGCGCTCCCTGCGGGCCCGGCGAGCCACCGGATCGCCGACCTACCGTTCTCCTTCTGGTACTGGTCCTCGTCGGAGGAGGCCGGCTCCTCCATGTCGCGGCCGGCGTCGCCCACGTCGTCATCCTCCGGCTCCTGCGGCAGGCGTGACGGCACCGTCAACAGCAGGCTTAGGACACGGCTGAGGCGCGATGACGCGTCTGCGGAGGCACTAGTCGACACCCGTGGGAGCGAAACGACAGAAGCGCACACGAGGCTGCTCGCCATGTGAGCACGTGGACTTGCTTGTTGGAGCATCAGAACGGGCCACATCGGCATAAAGCTAAGCGACAAGTCCGCTGCCTCCACCTCCCGCATGGTCTAGTGGCTAGGATACACGGCTCTCACCCGTGAGGCCCGGGTTCGATTCCCGGTGCGGGAACGTCGTCTTTGGTACCCGTCGCTTTAGTTGGCAAGTAGCCGCATGCCAACGGTCCGTAGTCAACAGCTAACCACGCCGGCACTTGCAAGCGAAAATAGCCCTTACGCCGTGTTAACAAGGCATGTTACTGAGATAGTACCGCTTAGGTTATCACCCTCACCCGACTCCCAACTGCCTCACCAACCTTCCAACCAGTTCATCCCTTGGCCAGTCGTCATATTTCTCGTACGAAGGATGGGCGAGTGCTTTCAGTCATGTACCGATCAAACCCGACATACACAGTATCAGTGCGCCACCCCAGGACCATTCTGTTCCTTTCTACGCAGTGTTACGGTGGTGCTATGACCCACCACGGGACGCAAACAAAGGGAAATATTATTCGACTAACAGTCCAAATAGAGTACGAAAAACCAAATCAGCAACCGAAAACGTTTTCCCGCACCGGGAATCGAACCCGGGCCTCACGGGTGAGAGCCGTGTATCCTAGCCACTAGACCATGCGGGACCTGGAAGACCTCCGGCATTACAAAGGTTACAGTGAGAGTCTTCACAAGCTCCGGCCAATTGACCAATTGCCCCTCGTTCGGATCTAATGGATCTGGCGCAAAGACACGCTGCTATTTCCAATGCCAAGGTTCCAATCATATCTCTAAAAATGATGACGATTATTAAGATATTCCGAACTGGTTATAGCCGGACGGTCCCCGCTCCCGGCCAACATCGCCGAGCTCCAAGAGCGTTGTACGCCTGGATAGGACCGATCTGCGCAGAAGAACTGAGCTGCAGCAAAGCCTAGGGTTTTGAATTTAGCGGAAGCCAGCCAAGGTGTAAGTGTAAGTGGACAACTGCTCCTTTGCCAGCAGAGTAAAAACAGCAGCTTCGCACTCCTGGAAAGCTGGAGCTTCAACGGGTACCAATACTCAACGCCTGCTGAAGTACTGGGCCTTTCCCTTCCACACGCATGCGTTTGCGGCTTAAAATCTCATCCAACTAGCTTACCACCCAACAACAGATGGACAGCTGTAGACCAGTGCACCAGTAATGTATGCCACCTGATCCTACCCATCCATATGACAACATATCACTGTGCCACCAGTTTCACACATCACTGCCAGCCACATGCAGACACCGCTGTGACTTGCAGGCTCGCCAGTGATAGCAATCATGTAACAAAGCATATCACCAAACCACCACCCAAAATCAGGCACCATGGACACCACCCAAACTCAGGCAATCGATTTGACTGTTACAATCACGCAAAATCAGGCAATCAGGCAATCAGGCATGTCTATTTCATTCCGCAACACCAGAAGACTGGCTACCAATGCAGCTGCAGTCCAAAACCTGGCGTGCCAAAGCTGTCGGGTGGGTGCATAAAAATGCAAAAACTGCTGAAATTATGCTGATTTTAATGCAAGTGTACTTCTGAGAGCAGCATTTAATGTTTAGCATATCACTTCAGGTTTTTAGCATTATGGGTTCTGCTGCTGAAAGGAGCCAAGCTTCATACACTGGGAAGTGCTAGTTAGATGTCATTTTCAAATGGCTGATGCCATTGGTATCTCTTATAAGACAGCTATAATTGTCAAGACAGTGCACATGGTTACAAGTAAACAAATCAACATTTTCTGCCATCACTTCATTAGCCTTTTGTATGTCTGGTAAAGGATCAATGCATATGATATGCAAACGCCCTTGGCCATTGGCATATACTATCAGCATATGCCATAAGAGAACTCCTCACTTCAAGGTGATCATGGTCACAAGCAAAGGTCACATGCTTTCAGCCCAACCAAGACTAATGCCCTGGAACACAGCATTCTCTCACAATACACCCCAATATCTACTTGATGTCGTTTAACCAGCACCTTCTGACATGACACGAAGCTCAGTTACTTTCAACACACAAACCTAGGGAGAGCTGGTGCGGCCACTGTCAGCCGCACTCCCCAGGCTGTAACGTGTAAGACGTGACCGAAGCGTTACAAGGCCCGCCCACCAGCCGGACCTCCCGGCCCACTCACCGGCGGAGCTCGAACTCCTGACGACCGGTGGGCATCAGCGGCTTCTTCAGCTTGCGCGGCCGTGGGCCCGGCTTCAGCGGCGGTCGGCCGACGGGGCGCGGCGAGAGCGCCGGCGACGTCGGCGGACGGCCGCGGCCGCGACCCGACGGCGCGGCGCTGGTGCCGCCGCGCCGCCGCCCGCGCCGCCCCGCCACCTGGTGCTCGCGCTGCGCCAGCCGGTTCTGGCTGTTGATGGCCAGCATGGGCGAGGCGCGCGGCTCGGGCACGACGCCGGCGCGGCCGGCCGCCACGTCGGCGATCGTCTGCGAGAGCGGATCATCCACGCTCGGCGTCAGCAGCATCGAGTTGGTGACGCGCTCCTCCGACAGCGGGTCGTCAAGCTCCGCCAGTGGCGGCGAGGCCGGCGCGATGGCCGCCACCGCGCGCGCCGCCTCCTTCGAGGCGCGCGCCGCGTCTCGGGCGGCGCGTGCGCGCTCGCGCGCCGCGGCGCGCTCGTCGACAACGCGCTGCGCCGCCTCGCGCTCGGCGGCCGCCGCACGCTCCGCCTCGGCCCGCTCGGCGGCGGCGGCGCGCTCGGCAGCGGCGCGCGCCGCCTTCTCCTTGCGGCGCTCCTCGCGCCGCTGCTCGGCCTCCTTCAGGCGGCGCTCCTCGGCCTGGCGGCGCAGCTCGAGCGTGGCGCGGCGCCGCTCGACGCGCGCCTCCTGCTCGGCGAGCGCGGCCATCTCGCGGCGCGCCTCGGTCACGGCCCGCTCCGTCTCAGCCGCGTCCGCCAGCCACGGGTCGTACGGCCAGCGCCGGCAGCCCAGCCGACAGCCGGCTCCGTGCTGGTCGTTGACCAGCCACCAGGCGGTGAAGCCGGCGAACTCAGTCGTCGTCGAGGTCGGACGGCGGCGCCTCGGCCGGCGTATCGTCCTCCTCCTCCTCCGTCTCCTGCTCGGCTGGCCCGTCGCGCCAGCCGCGCGGCTCGGGTGATGCCGACACGCGGCGCCGCTTCTGCAGGTAGTCGCCGAACAGCGAGCTGAGCTTGCGCTTGCGACCGGTGCGGCTCTCCATGAGCGCCGTCGGCATGGGCGCGCGCCGCTGGCCGACCGGCGCCGAGAGCGGCGGCCGGCCCCGGCCGCGGCCTCGCCCGCGCCCCCGGCCGCGTCCGCGCCCCGACGGCGCCGGCGTGGCGAAGTGGGCGCGCGCCGGCGGCGTCAGCGAGCGCGCACGGCCCGAGCCCGGAGCTGCGGGGCGCGAGACGAGCGTCAGTCGGCGGCGGCGGCAGCATGCAGGAGCGGTGGACACATGGCCTGCGACTCCCGTCCTGCCCGGGTGTCACCCCACGCAATCCTGTGCTAACGTGATGACGAAAGACACCTTGCGTTATGTCATTTATCGATGCATGAGACTGCCTCACAATGACCAGCAACGTCATAGGTTGACTCATTCACAGAGGCGTGCAGCAGCTGCAGCGTTCAGCAACCGACGACAGTCTTTGCCACAAGGGCGAGCGTACGCTGACTTGGACATCAACAAGGTCTGACTGATCGCTGTCTGACCGCTTTCGGTAACAGTCCACACCGGCTGAGGGAGCGGCCTGTGCCCCTGCCCCCGAGCGCACGTGCCGCCTCCTGTGACCCTGTGACCGGAAGCGTGACGCTCGGCTCAGGCGTCCGGTCGCCGAGCCGCGAGCCACCCCGGTCCGCCGGACTCACGTCGTCCGCGCGGCCGTCCAGTGGGCAGTCCGAGCCGGGGCCGGCCGGGGGTGAGGCCGCCGCGGGGCCGGCCGACGCCGCGGCCCCGGCCCCGGCCCCGGCCTCGGCCGCGGCCGCGCCCCCTGCCTCGTCCCCTGCCGCGGCTGGCGGCCGGCGGCGCGGCCGGCTCCGACGCGCTGGACCAGTGTCCGCTGCCGGCGCGTGGACGGGGCGGCGTCAGCGACCGGCGCCGACGGTCCCAGGGCCGGCCGTGGCGAGGCAAGGGCCGCGTGGGGAGCGGGCGGCGCCACACACCGGACACGGCGGTGACGTCACACGGGCGCTACACACTGCCATCGTAAGTATATGTTTTAAACGGCTGCAAAACACGCACCAAATTCATAGCATCAGCATCGTGCGTTCGGTCCCTGTTTGAAGACGTAGGAAGGCAAACAACGAAACAAGAATGACAAAGCTTATGCCGGCTACACATACCTCTCCGAAGAACGAAAGACTGTTAACCCGCGCAATACAATCGTGAGTTACACGCCACAACTCATACAAAGTGCACTTAAACCCGACCAAGCAAACGAGCGTTAGCGGCGCCGAGCACAGCTGCTTGTGACAGCATAACATACCCGTCATCATTCGCCGGGGTCTTAGACAGCCCTGAAAGACACGAGCGATCGCGTTACACCAAAGCCTTCTCATAGCCCTTGAAACGTACGAGGGAGAGGGGGGGGGGGGGGACATTGAGGCTTTACGACGCACTCAGCTGCTGAGGCTACATGGCGTCGCCTGCCTCTCACCCTGGCACGGAGGGAGGGGGGGGGGGGGGGGGACCGCGCAGAATCGAACCTCCAATCCCGTGCCTCCGGTTTCCCTGACGTGCGGGGGTTAACGCGGACGCGTTAACACTACACTATCGGTACCCTCCCTAAAATGTCTAAAGAGCACCACACGTAGCGTGATCAGGCGACAGGATCCAGCTAGATGAATAACGCGGTCTGGTGTTTCAAGTAGGCTTCATTTGAAACAACATGCTTCTTATTGTACCGACGCAAAAAACAAACAAAACCAGTTTGATAAATGAGCTTTAGAAAGTCAAGCACAATCTCACAGTGAAGTAGTTTCAATAGCGTGCTGCAAGTTATAACCCCCATAGCAGTGTGCAATGCCCACCGCACGACGCCTTACAGCGTCAATACACCACAGGCGTGTGCCTGGACTGACTCGGCGCCTGATGACACACTCCCTGACACATCAGAAGCTGAACAGACTGCTGGCAGGATGGACGCACGAGCAAACAGCACGGGAGCCTGGCGCCGCGTGCCACACATGCCTGCAGGGCCGACCCCAGCTGTCTCACCGGGCTCCGGTCTGGACAGCGTCGGCGTCTTGGGCGGCCGTCCCCGCCTCTTGACGGTCAGCCCGTCCGGCGGCGCCGCTCTGGCCACGCTGCAACGGCGCCGCAGCCGGTCAGCCGGGTCACGCGCCGCGCCCCGACCCCGACACCGGCGGGAGCCAATGGAGCCGCGCCCGCGCCGCGCAGCACCCAGCCCAACACAGCTGCTCCGGCTGCTTTGAATGCGATCGGACGAGGCGGAACTGGGCCGAAATATTTACGGGGACCGCGCAGAAGAACGCGGGTGGACTGCAACGTAATGACATCGGTAACATGGAAAGCAAAATCAAAACCTTTCAGCATGGTTAGCTAGCAATGACGCACATATTCCATGGAGCCCCGAAGCAAAGATAAGCAAATCTGTTCTATATCAGCGCGACTAGTCCAGTTGAGAAAGCACACATTCGTGCCGGAGTAGCAGCACAAAGCGTTAGTGCTCGCGACAATGCGCCAGCGGAGCTGGACCGCCAAGCAGCGTCGGCAGCAGACGGAGCCGCGGGCCACCGAGGACCGGGCCGAGCCCAGGCGCGTGCCACCGACCCCAAGGCGGGCGGCCGGCAGTGCTGACCTGGAGGTCGCCTTGCCGCTGCCGGGCGGCCGGCCGGGCCCGCCCTGCGCGTACGGCCGCGCGCCGACCGGCGTGCGCGCCTTCTTCCACTTCCTGCCGGCCACGGGCGTCGGGTCAGCAGGAGCCGGGCGGAGGACGCGGGCGGCGCCGGCGCGGCGGAGAGACGCAGAGCGCCGGTGCCGGCCCCGGCCGAGGGTACGTACACGGACGGTACACGCAGCACGCCCTCCACAGCCCCGGCCACGCCCGGCCGCACTATGACCTCCGCTGTCGACGCGCTCTGAAATCTCCTCGCCTCGGCCCGGGCACCCAAGCTGACATCCTCCCCAGCCTGGGAGCCCGAAGCGGCGGCGACGGTGGCGGCGGCCACTTACTTGGCGTCGGGTCCCAGCAGGCGCTCATACAGGCGGCCCTCGCCCCGGTCGTCGATCAGCTGCTGCTTCTCGCCGGCCGACAGCGACGACCAGCGCTTCTCGAACTGCGTCAGCATGTCCGAACAGTCCAGGTTGTCACGCGGCTCCCAGGTGTTCTCGGAGCTGGCGGGCGCGCCGTGTCACAACAGCAGCTGGCGAGACTACACGAAAGCAAGCCGCTTGTCGATGGCTTAGCGAGAGTTTGTGAGCGTTAGAGATCACCCCGACGAGATCACGAAGATGTACAGACGCTGATACCGATTAAAATAATGGTGTTTTCTACGCTTCCAGCGGGATATGAAGCGTCCTCATGACATGACGCAGAGAATGGTAATGCTTGTGGCAGAATACGACTAAACACAAAGTCACGACTTAGCCCTCGGTCACCGAGCCGATAGGGATGGTTTAGTTTCCATAGAAAGATGCACACCAAGCCGCAAAGGCCACCAACCTGTCATCAATCACCCAGCCATCTTTTAAACAGTGCATGGTAGCCCAGAGCACTGACACATACCGACGAGTTACGTCCGCCGGGACTTAGAGGCAGAGAATATCGCCTCACTCTGCAGGCGGACTCACTAGGCAAACTCGCGCCACTTGATGAGGTACTCGTCCACCTTCTTGCTGAGGTTGTAGCGCTTGGCCAGGATCTTGTCGACCTCGTACAGGGGGTCGGAGCGCAGCTTTCCGGGCGCCGGCGTCGGCTTGTCCTTCTTCTTCGGACCTGGACACGCACCCGGGTCGTGTCACATCGGATGCACATCTGATACGTACATGGCGCCGCGCCCCACCCCACGGTCAGATCCGGCGGCGAAACAAATTAGCACGATCGACCGGGTGAACACCTGTGTGAAACTAAAGTAGGGAGGAGCAGGCGGATGAAAATCATATTGCCAACTCGCAAAGACAATACACAAAATTACGCAAAACTACCACATACCGGGCGCCACCACCGTTGCTAATCAAATGTGAATGTTGTCGTTGCGGACCAGGAGCCTTCCCAGCGCCTGCCAAACCCGCCACTGTTTGAAGCCCGTCCGACAGCCAGCCTGTTGTGCTATCACTGAAGTGCGGTCTGCCTTGTCATCGACCGCGCCACCCTCGCCGGCATCCGTTGAACACGACTCCGGAATGTAACAGGGCAGCTGCTTCGGGACGCAAAATAAATTCAAGATGGCGCCACGTTACAACTCCGTCCCTGAGCCCCAAAGCCCTACCACTAACAGATTTATACATAGATAGATAGATAGGATTTAAGACCAGTCGAAGGAAAACATGCGCGTTCGTCTCCCTTATCGGAACATTCCTCAGGTGCGCTCCCCCCCCCCCCCCCCCCAGGCTTCGCCATTACGGGCGTCACGCGCGCACGCACCTGGCTTCTTCTTGGCGGCCGTGAGCGGGTCCTCGTTCATCTGATCGAGCGAGGCGCGGATGGCGGTCTTGGCGATCTCCAGGAACTCGTCAGTCGGCTGGCCGGGCAGCTTGCTGATGCGGCCGTCCAGCGCCGACCAGTGGCGCTCGAAGCCCGACACCCAGCGCGTCCACGCCTCCTTGTCGGCGATGGTCTTCTCGCCCCTGACGGCGCGCGCGAGCGGAGGGACGGACGGGCCGGTCAGCTCGTGGACGGTGCGGGACGTGGCCGCGTGCGAGAACACGACGCGACGCACACACGGACGCAAATATAGAGGGACTGATGGGCTGAAAGAACGGAACTGCGAACGGACGGGTGGGCCGACGGACGGAAGAGCAACCACCGCGAGGACCAAGAACGAAAGATAAAGAGGTGTGAAGACAAACGACACGCGCACGCAGGCAGATGGCAGGCGGACGCAAACACAAAGCTTTGCACGGACATGACACACAACGGACGGAAAGGACATACCAAAACACGTGCACATCTAAACAGCAAAGACAAGGGAGCACGACGAGCCGGCACAGCAGGAAAGCTGCGTCAATGATATTCTCTACATCATTGGGAAGTTGAGTCACCACCACACGTCTACAGACAATAAACACGAAGTTCGACAGCACGTGCAGGCCATACGCTGCTCACCTCCGGTGGATGCAGTTAACAACGCTTAACTTATACTGGAGGTCGGTCACCAACCCATAACTTCCGAGTACGACGCGAAACACTCAGACGACACGGACGCCCCAACAGACACGCCACGCCAACCATCACCGACTCACACGATCACCGACTCACATCGGTCACCGACTCACATCGGTCACCAACCCATATCGATCACCGACTCACATCAATCACCGAATGACGATGATTTCCGGCTCACACGATCACCGACTCACATCGGTCACCAATCCACATCGATCACCGACTCACACCGATCGTCGAATGACACCGATTTCCATATCACACCGGTCACCGACTCACACAGCCACCGACTCACACCGGTCACTGACCGCCCCACGCCGGCCCTCGTCAGAGCCAGCGCCGCTGCCGCCGCGCGCACCATTTCACTGACTTTTTGTTGCCGAGCTGCGGCAGGTACCAGCGCATGAGCACGCGGATGGAGTCGCGGTTCAGCTCCCAGCCCTCCTCCACCAGCTGGATGAGCGCCGTGGAGAACATGTACTCCTCGGCGACGGTCAGCAGCTTGCGCGGCCCGCGGCCGGACGGGTCCTCCAGCATCTGGTCCCGGATCGTGCTGGCGGCCCCAGAAGGCGACGAATGACGGCGATGACGACGGTGACAGAGATGACGGCGACGGCGCTACTATGACACGTGAGGCGGGCAGCCCCGTACGTGGGGTGCGGACACTGCGCCCGCACTGGTCCGGTGCCTGGGGACCGGCCCCGACCCGGGCGGGTGCGGCTGGAGGCGGCACCGACACTGGCTGCTGGTGTTTTCAACATGGGCACGCCTTGTCTGGTACGATCAGAGCATCCGCAGCGCACCTCGTACGCCCACTGCTGCATTACCATTGATACCAGCCCAGCACTGCTGGTCCATCACATCACAGTTTTGTCATCCAGATGTTATCCAGATGCCATCCATCCAGTCAATATCCAGATGGGGGGGGGGGGGGGGATTAGTTGCGTGCATGGACGGAGAGAGTCCAGGAGACGAACCATTCAAATTTTTATCGTATCATAAAACGATAAAATGATACAAAATATGGGCAATTATTGCAAGGGCGAGATTTCTTACGATAACGGAACTAAACTTACTACATAATCGGCAATACAGATGCTACTCTCTTATCACGAGAACGATTTCAATATTATGTATAATTCACACACATCCAACAAATCATGAAGCCCTAAGCCATGAGGTGATTAGTGTCACATCAACACCTGCCACACAGCACCCTTTACCAATCAGACTGACAGACACGGCTGGCCTGACTACTAGCCATGGCCGGCCTGACCACCAGCCATGGTCGGCCTGACTACTAGCCATGGCCGGCCTGACCACCAGCCATGGCCGGCCTGACCACTGGACACGGCCGACCTGACCACCAGCCACGGCCGGCCTGACCACCAGACCCGGCCTGCCGTCTCACCTGGCTGGGATGCCGCAGATGTCGGCCGCCCTCGTCACGGCCATGCCGTCGTTCACCAGCTCAATGGCACGCTTGATGTCCGTCATGGTAAGGATCGATCAACGTCACCTGAAGGCGGACAACGTCACCTGAAGGCAGACAAGTGGCGCACGGTGACGACAATCACAGGTTAGCGCCCAACAACTGGCTGGTCATAACATGGCGAGAGATCAGTAAAATGATGTACAAGAAAGCCAAGAGTAAGCAAATTACGAAGTGAATGTAGCATGCCAGTTGGCATAACAATACAACTTAGCATTGAAGAGCATTTTAAACACAACAGATACCAATGACCAGTTTCTCAACAAGATAAGTGATGACTCACAGCTTTTGTGGTTAGTCTTCAGCTGTACAGTCTAAACTTAAATGCCACATTAACAAACACAACATTAGGCAGTATTCAGCCCCTTTAATGCCCATATTAACTCCAAACTGCTACAGGACTATTTGTGTCAGAAGAGATGCCCTCACCAAGGGAGACATAACACATTGACCAGGACAACATGCTACCATGTGGAACACAACAAGACAGGTTTGCATTATATTTGTATACACAGGTACCTATTTTAACAAACCTTCAACTACCTGATCAAGAAACATAACATATGAATGTCCCTTTGTCCCCTTGGATGTAAGGGCTGTCCATGCATGCACATTTTGCACAGACATGGAAGAAAGGTGCTGATGGGTCACAATCAGGGCATAAAATAGGGCATAAGTTCTGTGTTTTGGATGCCTGAGCTGTGACAGGCAATGCAAATGGGGTAAAGGGGGAGCAGTGCAACAATGAGCTCAGGTGCGGCTGCAAATCATGCTTGTCTTTTTATGTATGGCCCACAACCTGGCCAAAACAGATGTTGCTGCATCAGAATGTTATGCTGCATGTGGCGTAACCTAGGGGAGGGCAGGGCTTTGCTGGTGTACCCCAGGGGAGGCCAGGGCTTTCCTGGTGTAGACAGTGCAGGCATTGGATAAGTGCCTGAGTACATCATGCAACTTATAGACAGTCATTTACACAGAATACGTGTTATGGAACAGGATGAGATGGAGCAACTT